TGTAGCTTCTTGGAGCATTACGGTTCCAGGGTTTCAAGAAACCCCTGAGCTGCAACAAAACTACAGCTGCCATTGGAAACCTCAGCTGCCTCAGCCTGGCCCAACAGCACAGCACGCAGGGGCTTCTTGGCACGCTGCAGCTCTGGGGCTGGGCTTTGTGCTGCGGCTCAGGGGCTTTTCTTGTTGGCCCAGAGTTGTGGCGCTTCAAGAAGCCTCTTTCTGCCAAGCTGCTGGACCAGGCCTGTAGCTCTGGGGCTGAAAGAACCCCTGAGCCATAGTGCAAAGCCCAACCCCAGCCCTGCCCAGCAGCATGGCGTAAAGGGGCTTCTTGGCGCACCATATGTCTGGCACACTGAGAAGCCCCTAAAAACCATGCTGTTGAGCCGGAAGCTGGATTCTGGGTTGAAAGGAGCTCTGAGCCTCAGCGTAGTGTAAAACCCTTCACACAAACAGCTCAGCCCTATCCCAACACAAAGGGACTTCTTGGTGTGCCATGGCTCTGGGGCTGCGAGAAGCCTGGGTGCAGCGTGAAGTCCAGTCCTAGCGTGACCCACTTCTGGCCACCCTGGGAAGCCACAGCTGCAGCTGTCCTAGCTGCCACGTGACATTCCATGGCTCCTGCTCCCCTGCACTCTGCTGCCCCACCTGACCTTTCTTCAGCTGCTGATGAGGCGTTCCCAGCAGCTGCTGGTCACGTGAGGCCATTTTCCACAAGTTTGACAAGGAGAGCATTGTGCACAAATTGGGGAAGAAAGTCTCATGTGGTCAGCAGCTGCCTTGCAAAGGGTCAGGCTGGGCAGGCTTGACCAGCAAGGGAAGGCAGGTGGTGAAGGTCAGCTAGGGCTACAGAAGCTGCATAATGCAGAGAGCCAAAAGGACATAGATGGGGTGGGAGGTAGGGAGATAGGCGGCTGAAGAGAACTTAAACAATCCTGCAGGCGTAAGTGTGCACAGGCTGCCAAATGCCTGAATTTGGATGACAACAGTGGCATTGCTGTTTGGGAACCAGTCGTAAGTCCCTTCATTCAGCACTTTCATAATTTTGAATGGTCGCTGAACGAATGGTCAAAAGTCAAGGACTAACTATATTCAAGCAGGTATGCAATACAGGTAAATATAAAAGTGCATCATCGTATTATTTAATTAGTCAAACTTCATTATTTAAGTTCTAACTGAATATTACTAATTTAAAATAAAAAAGGTACAGGTAAAGATTGCCCTGTCCAGTCGTATCCGACTCTAGGGTGCAATGCCAAGGGAGTCAGCATTGTCCGAAGACATTTTCCGTGGTATGTATCCAGCATGTCTATATGCTAAAGGTACACGTAATACCATTACCTTCTCATCTCAGTGATATCTATTAATCTACTTGCATTTGCATGTCTGGGCTGTCAGTTTTGCAGCTGACAAGCTCAGAGTCTATAAACCGCTGATAAACAAAACATCTTGTATTCAAACTGGTTCGATTATTTTTGGAGACTTTCAAACTTCAAACAACACCACTTAGTATATTTTTTCAAGCTCAAAACACTCCCAAAATAATTGAAACAACCATTTTGCAACTGAAATCGTGCATTTCAAATTGGAGACAATTTAGACTCAAAACATATTGAACATCCATATATGCAAGATGCACTTTCAATGTTATGTGAAAAAACAGAAATGGATGAACAATTAAATCCTCTTTCTGTTTTATCGCCCGACTATCTAGAGATGTGAAATTGGGCATAGTTTAGTATCTTTTTAAATATTCAATACATGAAGCTACACCTGACACGTCTGATGAAGTACTAAAACATTTTAGAATGAAATTTTATCCAACCCTAGTAGTTTTTACACATTGAAAACATGTAACATGCTTAGATCATGTGTGAAATGATCATTAGTACCCTTATAATAAGAACAGTTAAAACACAGAACAAGAGAAAGATCTCATTAAAAACCAATACTGACATAAGATCAATGTATTTTCAGCTAAGATACTCAAAGTAGCACAAAATTTTATTTAAGCTGCTCTCTCTCTGTAAATACTACCTTCCTCTACATTCCACTTCTAGAATAAACCTTTTTAAGTCACTTTATCAAAATACAATGCATGCTAATCTAGTGAACAAGCATATCAAGCCAATAATTAAAAGTAAGTAAAAAAAAATTTCACATTGATAAAAAACAATAAGAACCTACTTGGAGATACTATAAAAATGCCCTTAAGAATGACACAAACAAGATAAATCAACAGTCTACAGTCATTTATGAAATAAATGAATAAAACTCAATTGCTAAGCAAGGCTTTAAAACAGGGGTCTTCAAACTTGGTCCTTTTATGACTTGTTGACTTCAACTCCCAGAATTCCTCAGCCAGAGTGCCTGGCTGAGGAATTCTGGAAGTTGAAGTCCACAAGTCATAAAAGGGCTAGGTTTGAAGACCCCTGCTTTAAGATCTGATAATAAAGTGAAGAGATAGCCTCCCTTTTTCTAAACAACAACAAAAAGCCCCTATGATAAAAATAAACGCTAGAAGAAAAAGCAAGGCACATCATCATAGCTATCTTTTGTGCCACTAATGAAAAAAAATTGTTTTGGAAGGAAGACAAAATTAAAATGAGATTTTTCATTTTTACCAGTCTATGTAGACCAGTGGTTCTCAACCTTTTTAATGCCGCGACCCCCAACCGGTCGTAAGTCGAGGACTACCCAACCGGTCATAAGTTGAGGACTACCCAACCGGTCGTAAGTCGAGGACTTTCCCTGCCTGGGAGCACCGCACATACGTGGTGCTGCCCCCTGCGCCGGCCAAGGCGTAGCTGACAAGCGGCAGAGACGGAGCAGGCTGACCACCAGCTGGCCCAGCCCAAGGTAGGTAAGGCACCCACCGGGCCCCACGCGCGCCAGCAACCCTCCCTGCGCCCGCCGGCCTCCCACCTCCCACCTCTGGCCTTACATTTTTAGTAGTTGCTCAGCAGAGAGGGGTAGAAACTTCCAGACAACTCGCCTTCGCTGCAGACAACTTGCAGCACCGTTTGCAGAATGGGACTTTTGGCGGGCTCAGCAGGGCAGAGACAGCCTGGACAATTCCTGTTGGCTTTCAAAAGCCAATAGAATAAAAGGGAATAGCACAGCTAAGGAAAAGGGGGAAAAATGGCAGACTGTGTTGTTTGGCGACCCCTGTGAAATGGTCATTCGATCCTAAATGGGGTCCCGACTCACAGGTTGAGAACCGCTGATGTAGACTATGTAAGGATTTGTGTCTCAGGTCTAGTCAAAAGCTGGAAATCTTTGTCTAGTATCAGGGTTTCATCAAGATGACTTCAAAATTTATAAATAACAGAGGTCTAGTGCAGAAACATAAATCAAAGTCAACACTATTAATAAAAATACAAGCAGTACATATTTTTGTTACTCTGCTACATAGAAAACTTCATTACAGAATTGTGATTCTAAAGAACTTGTTTTTGACAAATATGGCAGCTTGAGGAATAAAAAAACATGGAATGATATATATATATGTGAAATTATTTTTAAAATCAAAAATGCCTTTGTAAATTCCTGGACTAACAAGTCCCTATTACTTCTGCCAACAAAATTTTAAAAAGTGTATTTGTATTATTTCCCTTTTATGAACCAACACAAAGCCAACGTAAGTTTTTTTTTACAAGCAATATAAATAAGAAGAAATAAAGCTGCTTACTGCCTTACATGAAATCCCAATATATTATACAAATTAATTTTTTAAAGTAGAAATTGAGCACACTGTACAGCAAAATCCCACCTATTCCACTAATTTCAGATCAATTTCCTTTCATGCAGCTGTTTTTTGTGACATAGTGTATATTGTGCAGGAAAGCAGCCAATTCCTCAACCTTCTGGAGAAGGTTCTCAGACAATGAACAGAAGGAAAAAGAGGTAAAGGAAAAAATGGTTGCTTGAGCAGCCTTCCATTTTAAAAATTCAGACTCAATTAAGTACGTCTATTCAAAAAAACTAGTTTGGTATAATGTTTAAGGCACCAGGCTAGAAACTGGGAGACTGTTGAATTCTAGTCCCACTTTGGGAATGAAGCTACTAAGTCAGTGCCCTTGGGTCAGTCACTCTCACTCAGCACTAGAAAGAAGCAATGGCAAGCCACTTCTGAATATTGCCAAGAAAACTGCAGAGACTTGCGCAGATAGTCACCAAGACTCAAAAACAGACTTGAAGGCACAATCACATTTGGGATAGTAGTTTAATGGATAAAATCTCAACTATTCCTTGAACTGGCCAATGCTTAAAAATGTTGTAGATGCCAAACATCTACAAAATTAATAGAGTGTGCAGAATTTTATGTATTTTAAATACTTATTTATTAAACTGTAAAAACTGTCATCTCTGAGAGGATTAAATAACCCTGCATGATTTTTTTTTGGATCAGGCGAATATCAAACTTTCAATTAAAGAAAATTACACATAGAAGTATAACTCTGTTATTTTACAAACAATGTTTGTATTTTGAATTATGTGAAACCTATAAAACCCCTCATAGTTAATATAAAGATTTTGTCTGGCAATACAAATAATAATTGCCTATTTTCCTCAAAAATCTTATGTTCTCTACGTCATTTTTCTTACATACACACATACACACACACATGCAGGCTTATATCTATTTGTATTTTCTTTCAAACTAGTTTAATGTTCTGTACAAAAAGTGTTATTTTAGGTAATAAATCATTGTTTCTCTTAGCTTGTTAATTTAATTCATTACATATAAAACTGTATTGGCATAAATTATAAAAAAGTTCTGTCAGATTAAATTAATTACAATGTATAATGTAGTTCATATCCATTATATGGCACTTGTTCAACATATTTGATCCAAACTGGAAGATTTCACATACAGATACATACATATTACTTTAAATACAAAAAAACAAAAAATTAAAAGACCAAGCCAGTACTAAAAATACATTTATTTATACAGGAAACAGGTATGGGACTGAGTCTTTAAATAATCTGCGTCTAACCTGTTTCTGAATCTTCACTGTCGGAGGAGCTGGACTCACTGGTGCTCTCAGACTCTGAAGAGGAGAATCCCTTCATTTTAGAGGAACCAGCAATTACATCCACTTTCTCTGCTGCAACAAGGTAATAGCATTGTCACTGGATCAGACAATAATCAGAATCTATTCTTGTGCCATGAAATATTCCTATTAAATATCAGATGTTTGGGTGTCTGCTCATACAGTGGGACTTCATCTTGTTTATTTTCCCCTATCCCAAAAGCTCTTCTTTTTACTAACCAATCTAGAGGGCCCCCAATCTTTCACATATAGGTTACTATGGGATAGGTTACAGAAAAATTCATTCCACTGGCAGATGTAGTCTGTAAGAACACAGAAATAGTCCAAGGAACTATTTTTCACATAAAAGATTTCCACAAATTGATTATGTTTTAATTAGGTTAATGAAACACTGATTTCAGAAGAACAGAAAATATGTTCTGATGCTTCCATTTTCTTGAAAGCACAAGAACAATTCAGTTTGCTATCTTCTGCTTTAGGAAATAAGGGAATAGAATAGGAGTTTGAAAATTTGAAATTCTCAAGTAATTTAGCATTTTCATGCCCCACTATTTTGCAATCTGGCTCTCCCCATTCTGGTCATTAGCTGATCACACATGTCCTTAAACGGAGAACTGGGAAGAGGGCACTTTCTCTGCCCCACTATACTTGGGAAGTCCAGGTCCTCTCCCCATTCCACCATGTCCAGGAAGCTCAGGACTCTCCCCACCTCACCATACCCAGGTCCACTTACCTTCCACCTTTTCTGCGGCAGGCTCCATTCTCACCATTGTCGGAAGACTTCTTCTCCAAACTACACTGTTTGGAGAAGGGGCTTCCAAACTATTACGAGAAAAGATTAGAAAAATATTTCTAGTCTTTAGAACAATGGCATTCGCTAATTTTCCAGCACCCTTCCACGTGCGGAAGAGAACCCTTTTGCCAAGCTGCAGAAATGGATGCTTGGATCTTCAGGATCTGAGTCCCATTTCTGCAGCTCAGCAGAGGGGCTGAGCAATCCACTGTGCATAGAAAGGAGCACCTCTGCCAGGCTGCAGAAATGGTATCAAATCTTCAAGTTCTGAGCAATGTTTCCACAACCTGGCAAACAGAGCGAACTCCATCTGGTAGGCAGCACTTTCAGTCAGCCCCCAGAGACTAATCATCTCAGCAGGCGGCGGTAACTTGCAATCTTCCCTGTTTGTTTCTCAATGACTTTCTGGAGAAGACAGTAGAGAAGATTGCAAATGATAATCGCCTGATTGCAGGACACTTGGCTACCCAACGTAAGGGTGAACAGGTTGCCAAGCATCCAGAGGGCAGTCAGGTGATCATGCAAGGGGGAGAGTGCACATTTTACAATAGCCAGAAGTTCTTTACAGATCATAAAGCAGCCTTTCCAAGGCTGTTCTAACTTTCAACTGTTGTTAAACAACAGTGTTATATGTCAAGAACTACCTGTATGTTGTTCTGGAAAAATTTAATTTATTACTTGCTGGAAAAGGTACAATTTCAAAATGAATGACTCTTGCATAAATTTATCATGTTCTAACATTAGTATATTTTCCATCTCTGCACCATAGAAAATGATTTAGTGTATACTGTTATTTGAAAAAAAATATTCTCAACTTGAAAAATACCTTGAGGTTTCCTTTTTTTCCGTAAACAAGATGTTACATATCGCTCCAGCTCCCTCAAAGTGGATGCCTTTAATGTTTCAAAGTCAATTTCAATCTCATCAGGATTGGAGTTTTTGAGCGAGGGTTCTCTTGATTGGATGATATGGACAACCCGGCCTAATTTTTCACCAGGGAGCTTGTTAATGTCCAGGCTCAATTGTCTTTTTTCTTCATAAGACATTGGCTTACATTTCTCCTCCTCCTCTGACTCATAAACTGGAGGTGGCTTGGCATTCTTCACAGTCACAGGCTCCTTCTTATTACTTTAAAGAACAATTACAAAGCATTATTATACGAAACAAAATGATTCCCTATTTTCATACAAAGAAGTTATTCTAGAATATATTTATTAGAATTGTGTTCTACATTCAAAGAGCCATGGTAATGTCTATTTCAATGAACTACATCTTAGAAATCCAAAGTTTAACTTTCAAAATTAGGTAGCTTTTGACAAGCAATTATAACAGCAATGCAAATCATATAGGAGGCAATCCACATTTAAATATCTTCTGAGCATTGACACAGATATACTTAAGTGGATCAGAAAAGTAGCTGAACTGAAGTTGTAAGGATTATGCCCATTTTTTATCCTTCAAGCCATAGATCCAGAAGGGCCTTTTATGAAATTCCTGTAGATGACTAGGCTAAGCCCAAGGGCGGGGCCAAACAACTAACTAACAAGGCAAATTGCCGCTAGAGTCAACGGAATTCAAGGGGGAAGGGGAGGATGGGGGATGGACTTAGGATCTCTTGTGGGAGTGTAGTGACTTCAAACTGATGGAATTTCCTGACAGTGATAACAATTAATCAGTGGAATGACTTGCCTCCAGAAGTTGTAGGTGCTCCAACACTGGAGGTTTTTAAGAAGAGATTGGACAAACATTTGTGTGAGATGGTATAGGGTCCCCTGCTTGAGCAGGGAGTTGGACTAGAAGACCTCAAAGATCCTTTTCAACTCTGTTATTGTGTTATTCATTTGATCCTGTCCTCAGGCTCAGCCTAGTCATCTCCTATAATTTCCTTCTAAAAACCTCTTACCACCCTACCTATTATCAAACATACAATTTAAAAATACTGGTCTCATCCATACAACTTTGGTGAGATGCTAAAGTACCACCTTTAAATGTTAAATCTTTAATATGAGCTCCATTTTCTAGAAGCACAAAAATGAAGAGAGCTACCTGAATTAGAACAGAATACTTTTCTTATACAATACCCTGCATTTTGTATACTTCAGGCTAAAATAATAGAAATACTTCAGTCTGAAATACATGATCCAATTGTTTCATCACTAGAAATGTACTCTCAGTAGGATCAAAATTATTCACAGGGGATGTACTATCATATTTATCCAATAATACGATCACAGAAGAATAATTTACACTTAAGAGTATTTAGCTTAGGATTTATTTGTAAAGCCAATGTAAAACCTACTTTTGTGTTGTGATGTTCTAACCAATGAATTAGGAGATGGATGGCTCAATGGAAAGGAACAACAACAACAATTTTCCTGCATGTATTTCCATTTCTTAAACTGGCAGACGAAGAATTACATCTAATCTCTTTACAATGAATGAAATGGTCATGAATAAACCCATCCAGATTACAACTTTTAGATACTGGTGTTGCTGAGGTTAAACTAAAACTGAGACTGTAATCCCCAAAGGTATGCAATGGACAATCTTTATTCTGCTAATAACGTTTTGAAGAATGGACTGTCCACTGCAAGGCAACAATATTGTAGAAAAACCTCCTATGACTATAATTTTGCTTCTTGATTGGAGGGTCCCAGGGTTTTTTTTATTATTATTAACAGGTTCTGTGGCCTACAGGAAATTTGAAGAAAAAAAAAACTGTTCTAAAGGACTGCTTGAAATTGGACTCACAGAGAGTAGACAGAACTAGGTATAGCCAGAATCAAGTTATGTAATGAATGACCCTTACAAAGATGAAGCTGCTGTAATGGTTTCTTTTAAAAGTTGTTCTATATGTGCAAAGCACCTCCTTGGGATGCTTTTCACTATTGTAATACATTGTATTGACTAGGGATAGAAGTCTAAACTATCTCTCAAAAAGCAGAATCAGAACTTCTATCTGAAGTGAAGCTATGGGCAGTACTCAGACAGCTTTAAAGGAAGTCCCATTATTCACAAAGAAAGAATGGTCATTTTAAAACTATATTCTAAGCCTTAAGAAATTAAAATATCCAGTTTTGCAAATTTCAATAGTATAAGCAAGGAATATTCAATTCTACAGAGAACTCTTCTTGGAGTTCTATGTAGAATTAGACCTCTAATATTAGAGAACACATTTGCTAAAACCAAAATTGTACTTAGACCTCAGTTAGATGAAAACCAAGAAAGCATGCAGTATATAATTTTGTAACCTTAAAGTTAAATGCATGGCAGAATCCTGATTTAAATTACATTGTTTCTAACCATATAATAGTTACACTTATTATATGGTTAGAAACAGTGGTATGGCAAAATATTCAAACTTGTAAAGTTCTGTGTCCAAAACTCTAGATTTTAATAGCAGTTCCGACTTTACCAAGCATACCAATATTCCAGGAGTGATCCAAGCCTGAAACATTTGCTAAGGTCAGAATAAATGGCTTGTGTTTTAAATCTGAAAAATTTTGCACATCTTGTTTAAAATTATGTGTCTTCTACCAAGAATTTAGATAGACAAAATATAGAAGTTCTGCTATACTTCTGAAAACATCTTCATGATAAAAGCTTTTTTAAAAAGCACATAAAGAGAAAACTAACCTTGAGCTATTGGTATTGCCATTATTCTTCTTAGCCTTCTTAGTTGGTGGATCCTTGGCTTTATTTTTTTTATTTTCTTCTACTTCTTCTTTCTTTTTGTGCTTCTCTTTTTTCTTTTCTTTCTTGTCTTTCTCTTTTTTCTTTGGTTTATTCTGCTGTGGCTGTGACAGGGCAGCCAACTGTTCATGCACTGCTTTAAGCTAAGGAGCAGACACACAGATCAATACAATTTTTAAAAAAAATTGTTTTGTTTTACCCCATCCTATGATGTGATGACCCCACACTCACTTTGGTGTGCAACTAATTGTTTTCCCCTCCCCCCAAACACCTGAGCTATATGTTCCTTAGTGCTGTGCATGCTTCAAAAAATATTTGCTATTGCTTTGGACCCATACCAAGCAGCCAGAGTGTTTCCAGGCCTCTATGCAAGTCTGAAAAAAATTCCATAACTTCAAGTGTTACACAAATGTCCATACTTTAAAGCAGTGCCGTTTATTTCCAGTCAAACACCTGAAAAAAATTTGGGCTGCTTTAAATGCAAACAGGTGCTGTGTTCATGTAAGATCAAAAGCCCCCTTTCCCAAATCATTTTCAAAGAATGCACACCTCTTAATCTGTGTGTGAGTGTGTGCACGCATACATGTGAGAGAAAGGAGAAAAAGTGTAGGATGGCACACACGAGTAGGAATATATTGAAGCAACTGTCAATAATGCTGCTTAATATCAAATGGCAGTAATTTGCTGGCCGTTCCTGAAACAGGAAGCAACAGAGTCAAGCTTCTATGATAGATTGGAAGGCAGGAATTGTTTTGTTCCCAAGAAAACAAAGTATACATATCCATATTATCACCAGTGACTTCAGCTTGTCTTAAGGGCATCGTTATCTTTTCCAGTAGTACTGAATGAGTTATGATACTGAAAGTTTTCCTTAACATTTTAAATGTTGAAGGGAGAGCCTAATGGCTACTATATCACTGGCACAGGCAATAAAGAAACATTTGCTAGTCTAATACTATCTATTGATCTTCTGTCTTGGAATCTCTTTCCTTACCCAATCAAAATTTGATGGATGCAAAAAGGCTCAGGCACAGGCCCAACCAACTCCTCTTGTGATTGTGAGATTCACAGGCAAGCTGGAATTGTTTCATCTGTTGCACAACAATCCCTATCACATTCTCAACCTCAGCAAGGGGAAGATGGCCAGGAATAAAGTTGCAAAGCCAAAGTGCTTGTTGTACTTTTTCCTGCCAGTATGAGGATTCCTGCAGTATATTCTGCAACAGGAAGCTTTGTGAAGGAAAACTAAGGAAAGAAGCTCATAACTAGATGTATGAAACTGTAAGCTAGAGTGGCTTTTGTTTGTCTGTTATTCATATATGTAGTGAAACATTAAAAACTGGAAGGTGTGGGCTAGAACTGTACATATGTAGTAGTTATGGAAAAAAACGAGAACCTGATCCCAGATCCAAAAACTAAAATTAAGGAAGTAACTGGAGAAAAGAGGATACAGTCAGAGTCAAAAGCAGGATACACAAACGTTTTACCTGTTCCTGGAGCTCTGCTAGCCGCTGAGCTCGCTCTTCTTCAGAATCATCTGACGAACTATCGCTGTCAGAAGAACTATCACTGCTGCTGTCACTGGACGATGGTGGGGGCACTTTGGGTTGTGGCTGTACTACTACTGGAGAGGAAGCTGGAATCACAGGTTCTTCGGGTTCATCTGGCATTTTAGCAAACTTCATTTCAAAGACATCCTGGCAAAATACAGTGGGCATATGAATGCTATGCTTATAAAAATATATCCCAGCATTATTCTGAAAAAGTTTTCCTGGTGCCCGCACCAAAAGGAACAAGATATTGGTATCTCCAAACACCGAATCAATTCAGAAAAAAATGTTCCTTGAAGGGATATTATTATCCTAAACATCACCTTTCCTGCAGTTTATCAATCTAGGCACTTTCTGATCAAAATTGGCTTAATCTTGAGGTCCCATTATATAAAGGGATAGGTGAAGGGTATTATCCTATTCATTTGGCCACTTGGGAATGCAAGAGGTATGATAGCAATATAATAACATCAGTGAGGGTGGGATTTCAAGGATTCCAGCAGTTTTATTTGGATAAAATATATTTATTCAAGTTTAATAGATTTTTTTCATGATTATTCCAATTAAAAAATCATGCAAAAGAATGTGAGTGCTTTGCTTCTGCTTTTCATTGGTGTTTGAGGAGAGGAATCAGTAAACAACAAAGTAAGGTACAAACCCTTTACCCCTGACATTTGGAATACATATTTTAAAGATTGAATAGCAAATGAATTGTAATTCCCAAAGATATAAAATATTTTTAAGTTATTCTGAAAATTATTCTACTCTACTTATTAAAAATTGTGCATTTATGCATTTAAAGTAGAACTTGGTTTTAAATGAATGTTTAGTTACCTGTAGTTTCCGTGCCATGGCCACTACCTCATGATCTGGAGGGTTATATTTGTAACAATTGGAAAACATCAATCGGACATCAGCTGAAAATTCCTGAGCATCTCTATAATCCCGGTTTTCCAATTTGGACTAAAGATTAAACAAATAAAGAGCTATAATTATAAATAAATTTTAAATCATTTTAAAATACTTACCATAGGTATTATTTCCTATAAATAGAGCAAAATATTTTGGCATTTCAAAGATAAGATTATCAATTCTCTATAGCAAATACTCTGCATGTTTTCTGAATGTATATAAAAATAAAATTATTTTCAACCCAAATGATATTTAACAAATGACTGGGTATCCCGTTTGTTGATAATCCCATTGATTCCCTGTTTTAGTTCATATATTGCACAAGATTACAAAGAAACAGAAGTATCTACTTTGTTTCATGTTTATGGAGATTCTCAATCATACAGGTCATGGTTGTCCCAAAGGTGTTTTTTCCAAAAGGCAAAGCTCCCAAATACATGGATAAAAGTAAATATTACTTTAATACCAAAAGAAGATTCAGATTTGACTGAGAGACTGAAAAGATACTTAACTGAATTTATACATTCAGACCACAATACTATGAATTACATCCAGGGAAACAAATGGCACTGATATTTCTGGACGCTCAAAAGACATTTGATAATGTTTCCTGGCAATTTATGATTCAGCAATTACAAATAATGGACTTTGGACAGAATTTTGTAAATATGATAAAAATGATATACAATAAACAAATAGCAAAAGTGATTGTAAACGGAGATTACACTGAGAACTTTGAGATAAGGAAAGGAACAAAGGCAAGGATGTTCATTATCTCCATTATTATTTATTTTTACTTTGGAAGTCTTAAACAGAAATATTAGACAAGATATAGAAATCAAAGGATTAGAAATAAAAGCTGAAACATATACATTGCAAGCACTTGCTGATGACTTGGTGTTCATCTTAGAAAAACCTTTGGAGATGATTTCTAAATTACTGGGAAAGACAGAACAGTATGGAGAAATGGCAGGACTGAAAATAAACAAAGAGAAAACTAAAGTAATAGTTAAAAATCTCACAGATAAACAAAATGAAATTGGAAAAAACAGAAAAAAACAGAATTACAGAGGTTAAAGGTTAAATATTTGGGAATACAGTTGACAGCAAGATGTTCAATGATAAAAGAAGACAATTATATAAAATTGTTAAATCAAATAAAACTGGACTTGGAAAAATGGAAAAACTTGCAATTGTCAATATTAGCAAGAATTGCTACAGTGAAAATGAATTTATTACTGAAAATCTTATTTTTATTTCAAACAATACTTATAAAATTGGAGAATTATTTTTTTTTGGTGAAGATTTGAATTCACTAATTTTGAAATTTATTTGGCAAGGAAAAAAAGCTAGAATTAAGATGAAAATGTTACAAGATGCTAAAGGAAACGGGGGATTTGGCCTACCAGAGTGGGTTCTATATTATCAAGCATCTGTATTAACATGGGTAAAAAAATGGATAATTCTTAAAAATAAAAGGTTGTTATATCTGGAGGGACATGATTTACAATTGGGGTGGCACGCTTTTTTATGGTATGGGAAAAATAAAAATATTTTCAAAATCACTATATAAGAAATGGATCGTTAATAATATAGGAAAAAATAAAAAGCAAAATATATTTGAAAATTCCAGGGTGGTTGTCAAATATGGAAGCATTTGCACACTCAAATTTAGTGGACTTTGAAAAAATCTGGACATATAGAGATATTCTAAACTCTGAAGGATATTTAAAATCTAAACAAGATTTCTAGTCTTCATCAACAACTTGGACGAGGGGATAGATGGGGAACTCATCAAATTTGCAGACGACACCAAGCTGCCAGGAATAGCCAACACTCCAGAAGACAGGCTTAGGATACAGGAGGATCTGGACAGACTTGAACACTGGGCGCTATCTAACAAAATGAAATTCAATAGTGAAAAAAGTAAGGTTCTACTTTAGGCAAGAAAAACCAAATGTACAGGTATAGTATAGGGGGTACCTTGCTCAATAGTAGTAACTGTGAGAGGGATCTCGGAGTCCTAGTGGACAAATCATTTAAATATGAGCCAGCAGTGTGCTGCAGTTGCCAAAAAGGCAACAATGTGCTAAGCTGCATTAACAGAGGGATAGAATCAAGATCATGTGAAGTATTAATACGACTTTACATGCCTTGGTACGGCCACACTTGGAATACTGCATCCAGTTTTGGTCACCACGATGTAAAAAAGATGTTGAGACTCGTCAAGCTATTTTCCAAAGTGCCTGAAGGCAGGACAAGAAGCAACGGATGGAAACTAATCAAGGAGAGAAGCAACCTAGAACTAAGGAGAAACTTCCTGACAGTTAGAACAATTAACCAGTGGAACAACCTGCCTCCAGAAGCGGTGAATGCTCCAACACTGGAAGTTTTTAAGAAGGGACTGGACAGCCATTTGTCTGAAATGGTATAGGGTTTCCTGTCTGAGCAGTAGGTTGGACTAGATGACCTCCAAGGTCCCTTCCAACTTTATTATTATTATGGATCATCGCACAGTCAGCCAGATGTTCAGACTGGATTTGGCATTTTGTCTACCTATCGAGTCCTTACCCAGGACCTGGGATAGGCAGATGTGGATGTTTGATGGTATTACAGATATCGTCGCAGGATGGAAGCAGTTCCTAGTAAGGCCGCCTTTTGCAATTGACTAATGGCAAATTTTTCAATGCCAATGGTGTTCAAGTGGTGTTCCAGTTGTTTTGGGATTGCACCAAGGCGCCTATTACTATTGGTACTACCCTTGCTTGCTTTTCCCATAGTCTTTCTATTTCTATTTGTAGGTCTTTGTATTTTGTGATCTTCTCCAGTTCTTTCTCGTCTATTCTGCTGTCTCCAGGCACTGCCACGTCCACTATGCAGACTTTTTTGTCTTTCTTATCGACAATTGTTAAGTCTGGGGTGTTATGTTGCAGGTGCTTATCTGTTTGAATTCTGAAGTCCCAGAGCACTTTAATTTTACCATTTTCTATGATTTTCTCTATTTTATGATCCCACCAGTTTTTGCTTACAGGCAAATGATATTTTTTGCAGATCTTCCAATGCACCATTGTTGCTACTTTGTCATGCCGCTGCTTGTAGGCAGTCTGTGCGATCTTCTTGCAACAGCTTACCAGGTGGTCCACTGTTTCTTCAGCTTCTTTGAACAGGTGGCACTTACTGTCTGTTGCTGTCTTCTCAGTTTTGACTTTATATGCATTTGTCCTTAAGGCTTGGTTATTATTATTATTAATTATTTATTATTATTATTATGATGATGATGAAAAAATGGAAAATCAGGGCATTAACTTATCATGGTGGACACATTTACAAATACAAACTAGATATGATAAAGATGTTAAAATGTATGGATTTTATAAAGAACAAACTGTATTTGATAAGACTTTGTTAACTTGGGATGAAAAATTAATTAAGAAAATGTTTAATTTTTTTTATTAACTTTGAAAATGGAAGATGAACAAGTTAAAAAAACAATGATAAGATGGGCGAAAAATTTTGGATATAAAATGTTGTATAGATGGCATTTGCCACCAGCAAGATTAGCGAAAATGTTTAAAAATATGTCAGATAGATGTTGGAAATGTAAACATAAGTCAGACACATATTATCATGTTTGGCGGACAAGTGATAAAACAAGAACTATTGGAAAAAGATACATACTTGGTTAGAAAAGATGTTAGGAGAACATGTTGATTCTAAACCTGAACTTTTTAAATTAGGTATAATGCCAGAAAAGACTTATATTTGACTTTGCATGTTATAACAGCGGCAAGAATCATATTTGCACAATATTGGAAGAATGAAGGAGTACCATCAGAGGAAGAAATAACTTAAAAAATACTAGAATGCGCAGAGATGGACAGATTGACTATGAGACTGAAAGAAAAGGAAAAAATGGACTATTATCAAACCTGGAATTTATTTTACCATTGGCTAGAGGAAAGAAAAAAGGATTAGGAATTAAACATGTATTAACGTATGTAAACTCAGACAGCACGTTGGTTGAAAAATTATTATTCTTTGTATGAAAAAAATGAATAAAAAGATTACAAAAAATCCATTTGAAAAATTTGCTTGTCGCCTTAACAAAAATTAGTTTGAGTATTTCTATAAATTCCCACAATTGGCTAAGAAATCAAAATATTGTAATCTAAACATTTAAAAAGTAAGTTAGTTCCTGCATGTATTTAAAACTGTACACAAACATAGGTAGTATTTTTAACTTATGCACTTATTACCAGATGAATGTTGGAAAAAAAGACACCCACACTTACTTTAATTGTACTCAGGTCCATGGGATGCTTAATGATTTCACGATAATCATGGAGTCCAAGAGCTTCCACATCTACAGGTTTGTAGAAGGGCCATGCATATGCAGCATGTTTCTTAGCAAACATCTCCTTTATGATGCCCCCACAATACTTTAATTGCTCTGACGCTTTGCTACTGTTACTTTTTTCTACTACATGCTGCTGAGAATCTGGAACATCCTTCTTTGGAGGTTTCACAGGTCGGCTTTCCCTTCGTGGACCTGTCTTGACAGACTTGGGTTCAGCTGGCAATGATGATGATTCATGAACTGGGTCTATTGTAGTAGGAGTTGTAGTGTCTGCTTTCCTCTTCACTCCCTTTTTTGTCTACCAAAGCAAACAGACATTCTATGTAGACTTCTGTTCTTTATTTGCCATAATGTATACGTGTATATGAGGTTATGATTCCTTGGCATAGGAATATGTTATTATCTATATTTTTAATTGTTGATTATTTTTGTTATCTTAACCTTGTTTATGCATGGTGGGAATGTAAGCCGCTTGGAATCAGTTGACAATTGTAGCGGCATATAAGCCTATTAAAATAAATAAAATAAATGAATGTACCATAGAATTCTCATTAACTAAGCAAACACCCCATTTTTATGAAAATAATTAGATATCACGTATAACTATCTAAAACACTATACAAGGAATACAAAACAATCATCAGAAAATCTGGCATAGAACTTGTAGTGAAGTTGAATGTTGTGAAAATTCTCTATCATGACTTCACTCAATAGCTTAAGAAAGTTAGAATATTTTCAATTTCTTGCTACTATTACTATTATACTATTACTATTATTTGAGGAATTCATCTCAATGAATAGAAGGATTCCTTCCCCTGACAAAGGAAGAAAAGACGAATAGGAAATCTTGCTGAGGGAAGAAGCTGGAATAGTTATTTCTACCAATTCCTTTTATTGCCTTTCTCAGACATTATTTCATGATCTTTCTATTATTCAAAGCAGATTTTTAGTCTTGCACAACAGAGGAGAAATGCTGCTGTCATCCTTTCTTTCTAAGAAATCATTCAATATTAGGTAGACTGCAATTTTAGCCCCTTACATCTTAGACTGATCTTGAAAGGAATACTAGTTATTTTCCAGCAAACATAGTCTTAATTCCAATAGAAGATATGTTTAGCTATTTATCGAGTCTTTATTTTAAGCAGTATTATTGATTATTGAACCAAGGTAAAGCAGAGCCATCTTTTAAGTGCTTCCTCTTCACAGAAGCTTACTAGGTTTAGGGTTGTCGCTGTACCCCCATCTAGTTTATTTCATAGGCTGTTATAAAGAAAAATGAAAGGAGAGGCTGTACTACTCTGATTTCCCGGAGGAAGTGGATGAGGGGGAAAAAAATCCCAAAACATTCAATTAATCAATAAAAAAGATTGACATTTACGATGCTCATTTACATTTGCTTTTAAAGAAATGTCAGTACAATCTTATGCAAGTTTATTAGAAATAAATCTGAATTGTTTAATGGGACTTACAAAGTATATTTCAGACAGCAACCTTTAGTAATTAAATGACAATATTGCTGTCATTACAATGGAAAGACTTGACTTTTACTCTTCTACGAAAGGAAAGAAATGAAAAACAAGTTTCATGTTGAATACTGAGCTGAATCATGACAAAATAAAATTACAACTATAGTACACAGCTGATCTCTATTTACCTAGCAATTTGTATATTCACAGTGCATATTTGTCACTTAAGTTGTATGTTATGTTCCGACTAAATTATTCTTGCTATTTTTGATATGTACTTATTTTAGAATATTACTTTTAACACACACATTTTTAACTTTCTCTGTAACTACTAATATTAGTTAAAACCAAATACAACTTGAAAAGCATCAATGTACTAACCAATGTTGGTATCAATGTGCTAAATATGTATCAAATATAGAAGGTAATGTTAATCAATTCTAATCTGATCTGCTTTCCCCCTCTGCGAGTTTATTTCAATACTAATGTTTTGCACCCATTTTATAACATTTGTATGAAGTGTGGTATGGTGGGAATAGATATTAAACATACTTAACATCTTTTTTAAAATAACAAACCTAACAAAAAAAAAACACGCATCTATTTGATTTGCAAGGGAAAATTATGCTATTTTTCACATTCCACAGAAGACAAATAACTTAAAATGTGTAAATAGAAGGGGAATTCCAAAACTGAAATGTTTTACATATCTATTACATCAGTTCTATATTGCTTTATTTCAAGCAGCTTAAAATTAGATGTTTTGTTTTCTGAACAAAAATGCACTTTAGAAAAACTTTAGATTTAAGAATAAAGGGTATTTTAACTTCAGTCAAGTAAATTTGGTGATCCTTCTAGCCGGCACATTCAAACGTTCATACCTTAATAAGGAACACATTATTCATCCATACCGTTCAGTTTTAGTTATATTGACTAAAAGAAACTATATATTATTTTAACCCTTTTTCTAGCAATTATAAGATTGAATCTGCAAGTAAAGCTGGGGTCTGTAATCCAAGGGTTTCTGCATCCTAGTTATCTGGGTAGCGCAATAATAATTAATCTTAATAACTTCCCAGTGTTAGAGCCCCTAAAATAACGAATGTCTTGCTGAGTTAATATTTTCATTAAAAATTTTCTTCGACCAGCATTTTTAAAAATTGAATTTCCCAACAGCATACAACTGTGCCAGTTATTGGGAGCCCTGCAGAAACAGGGCATTGCAGCATCGTAAGATATTCCTGCTTCCTAACCTTCAAAAACGGAAGAATCAAAGTTAAAGAATTTAATGAAACAGTCTTAAGGAAAGTTATAAAGTGCCTGAGCATTTTTTGTATGACTTACGGCAAGATTTTCTCTTAGGTGAACAATTAAAAGAAGCAGAGTTCTAATGTACGCACCTTCATGGGTTGTGCAGATGTTGGGATAATCGGGGTGTGTGTCTGAGAGGGCTGAGGAGCTGAGGCTGAAGGTGGGAGGGGAGGAGGCAGTGCTGCAGGAGGCTGGGGTGGCACCACTGTCATTACTGGTGTCTGAACAATTAGGTCAGGGGTCAGAGAGGGAAAGGAATGAGTTGTTTGCACTGGCTGAGAATTTTGAGGTGGAGCCTGCGTCTGTGGTGGGGATGATGCTTGAGTTGCATTCTGTACCACTGATGCTCCTGCCTTGGTTGTCACTGTAAGAGAGTCAATGACAGTATGTATATCAAGTCTCTAAAAATACAAATGGACATTTTGCTTTTTCAATTTCAGATTTTTTACTCTGACAAATCATATTTGTATCTGAATTCCAATACCATTTCTCAATGACTATATAGATTACTGACAGACTCAAACCTTATTCTATTAACTAGTAAAGATAAACCATCCATATGAAAATACATATTTTCCTTCTTTCCTTTCTCCATTGTATTTTTGTAATTATACCCATTTCCCATCTTTCAAACTAAACAGTCAGGATAAAGCTTTAATTTCTGGAAATACACACTGTTCACCTAGATTTAATAATGAGTGAGCTTGCAGGCTGCACTAACCTATAGATTACTTGAACATGGCTAATACAATATAAACATAAGCTGGATTCACGAAACATGCAGAGCAGTAAACTATAGTTTATGCTCACAATGCTTGGATTCACATTACACATTAAGTCAAAACCAAACAAATTGTATTACAGCTGAGCACAATGTACAAACTAGTTTTTATCTGAAAGAAGATTTTTCAAATACAATCACAAACATACATACACATAATAGCATTTGCTATTCAAACAAGTACAAAAACTGAGAGTACAGAATAAAGTAGATGAAATATCAATACCTGTTTCCTTCCTACCACGTCCTCTCCCTTTTGTTTGGACTATAACAACTTCTGTTTCTTCCTGGGCCATTTCAGATATTTTTTGTAGGAAGAGTTTTTCTAGAGCTTCTGCCATCAAAACAATATCATCCCCTTGCTGAACAAATAAAAATATATAAAATAAAAAAAAAATCACACATATTTGGAATCATCAATCTGAAGACAGACTTGCCATATTTTTGCCACTATACGACACTGTAGAACTATAACATGAAACATGGAGGTTACTTTGTCTAGTTCAGTGGTTCTCAACCTGTGGGTCGGGACCCCATTTGGGGTCGAACGACCATTTCACGGGGGTCGCCAAACAACGCAGTCCGCCATTTTTTCCCCCTTTTCCTTAGCTGTGCTACTCCCTTTTATTCTATTGGCTTTTGAAAGCCAATAGAATAGACTCTCTTCAATAGAGTCTAATTCTATTGGCTTTCAAAAGCCAATAGGAATTGTCCAGGCTGTCTCTGCCCTGCTGAGCCCGCCAAAAGTCCCATTCTGCAAATGGTGCTGCACCAGTTGAGTAATCCTCGACTTACGACCGGTTGGGGGTCGCGGCATTAAAAAGGTTGAGAACCACTGGTCTAGTTGTTATCAATGTAGTCTGCATTTAATCTTTGTAAGTAAGTTAGAGATCACAGTGTGATGCACTTATTGCTTAATTCATGTGTCCCTCTGCATGAAGTGACTGTAAAGTTTTACTATGTTGCTCTTTTATGTATTGTAGTTTAAGCTGTATATTGTATTTGGATTTCTTCACTTATATGTTCTATGTTAGTTCCTCTTTTGTCATTAACCGCATAATCATTTAAGCCAGTGTTTCTCAACCTTGACAATTTTAAGGCATGTGGACTTCAACTCCCAGAATTCCACAGCCAGCAATGCTGGCTGTGGAATTCGGGGAGTTGAAGTCCACATGCCTTAAAATTGTCAAGGTTGAGAAACACTGATTTAAGCTATCAACTATAGAGGAGGACCATTCAACATACAGCTCTATACATTTACTCTATCTCATAGTTACTTTACTAAAAGAGATATATTTCTGTGTAACAGAGTGAGAGACAGATAACTTGCCCAGCTAATTTACTAAGGCTTTTTGTGTTGTTGTCAAATGTAATAGTATTCAGGATAGAAATTTAAAAGCTATAGACCTCGAAACACCTTTTCTCCTTATAAACTTATCTCTAAATATGAAAAATTGTGGTTGATATATTCATGAACAGCTTATGAAAAAAAATAGATCTGAGGCTTTTTAACAACTTAACAAATTCCTTGTTTCTTGGTAATATGTCGCTCTTTCTTTGTATTCATTTTTGCAAGGAGAAAAGTATGGTCTTCTGGATGATCATCCCCACTCACAAGGAAAACTAATGCCCCTGACTGGTAGCTTTCTTGCTGTTGTAATACTCGGGAACACAGCATTTTAATTATAACAAAATAACGATTCAGGAATCATGAAAAGTTTCAAACCATTTTCATTCTACTATAAGACTGTAAAATATGCATTCCTAATTGGCTTTTTCAGGAAAATTGTGTGAAATCAAAATTTGGAAGCATTATTTTCTATTTTTCATCAGTATGGCATATTAATGTTATATGACTAAAAGGGTAGCCCTTATGTATTAAGGAAAACTATTGTTTTAAAAATACTTACAATAATAAACTACACATGTAAAGTACCATGGCCAGTGAAACTCTTAAGCAAAGTAGTACTGATAAGAGAGGAATTCTTAGGTTTTGTCTAAATAAAGTTTGAATTTTAAAATAAATTATATTTATGTAAACTAGGGAAGTATGTAATCTGTCACCCTGGGTTTACATAAGAACCTTTTGCTACATTCATGCACCTGTCACCAATTTCAGACCTCCTCTGGAGGAGACTGTATATCAAGCAAAAAAAATTGTTTCCTTCCTGTAGCCTGCTCTGAGCAAAGAAGGTACATTCACGGTTGTTAGACAGAAAAACACAACTTTTCTCACTTCAGTCCAACAGGTTATCCCTGAGATACTACGGCCTTTTGAGAGAGAGAAAACAATATTCACAGCTGAGATAAATGCACTGTTTTACCAAGGAAGGAAAGAAGGAAAAGAGTAACCAGTATACCCAGATTTAAGTCCATTCTTAACCACAAAGCTCACTACAAAATTCAATTATTTATTTATGTGATAATGGGCCAGTCACACAGTTAGCCCAATATAGTTCACATGACTGCTGCTGGAGAAAATGGGGAGAGAAAGAGGAGCTACATACACCACCTTCAGCTCCTTTAATTTAATAAATCTAAATAAATTTATTTTAATAAATGTATTTAAATTTATTTAAATTTAATAAATGCCTACACACTAAAAACTGAAATCTGAAGTTGGAAATACATAGGTGATACGTCACTTGAAATCCACTTTATGGGAAAACTAACCTTATTATAGATGTAACAATTTGTAAACATTGTATTAAAGTCTTGGATGCATTCTTGAGCGTTCCAATAGTAGTTATTCTCCAAGCGTTTTTTTATTGTTCCCATGTCCATAGGAGTTTTAATAATTTTATAATAATCCTAAGGGAAAATAAATATGGCAAATAAAAATTCCTTCAAGTTGCAATATATTTTCAAAAAATAAAAGTTAAAACAATATTTTTCATCTGTGATGAGTTGTTGATGCAAATTACTTCATGACTGAGAAGCAAGCACAGATCATCTTCAATTTACAATTATATTTTGAGACCAAAATCTCTGGTCATTGAGTGAAGCGGTTATTAAGCAAGAACCATGTGACTGCTTCACTCAATAACTGCAATCTCGGCACTCCAAGTTATAGTTGTTATGTGATCTCCTGTGTTGTTATACTGACAAAGCAAAAAAGTTGCATGCTAGAGGGACACGGAAATTCTCAAACAGGCAGCCCTTTCACTCTCAAGGAGGTTGGCTGAAAAAGGTCCATCTCAATATTCAAGCAGGATTTTGGTACAGAGTGTTTGTAGCATGGGGTATTTGCAACCAATCCCCAAAGACAAGAGGGAGTTCTCATTTATGGATGTAGCATGCCCCATAAACAAAACAAATGTGTTAATTAATGAAAGTTTATGGGATAAGTTACATTGATCCAGCCACTCTTTGCATTTAATTGGGGGAAGGAAGGATTTTGTGCGTTGTGCAAACTCATTCAATCATCCTGACAAGTACTGTAATTCAGGGGTCTATTTTAGTTTAAAAATATTTTTAGCACTGTTTGAAGCTAAACACACAGAGTCAACTACATCATATAATCAACCAGTATCAATATAAACCAAAGGAAATCCTTTTGGCAGGTGGCAGCGGCTTGTGACCTTCTCTGCTGGCTTTTCCTGGGGAAGCTGGAGAGAAGATCGCAAATGGAGATCATATTTGTGGGGTGCTTGGCAACTCATTGTAAGTCTGAATAGGTTGCCAAGGGCTCAGATCACAATTAGGTTATCTTGGGGGGGCCTGCAATGGCTGTAAATTTGGATACAGGTCTAAATCCCTTCATTCAGTACCACTGTAATTTTGAACAATCACTGAACAAATGGTTGTTAAGCAAGAACTGCCTATATTTTGTTCATCAGATAGTCCTACTTCGACAAAATATGGAATCTGTACCTAAAAAAGCACTGTACTGACTAGACTTGGAGTGGCCAAAATTTATTTTCAGCTCTTCTCCTAAACCAATAGTTGAATATGCTGATTATTATCAACCCTATTGGCAGTTTATAGCAACAATAGGCCACTATTTTTTTTTACTCCTTTACTGTTATTTTTTGAGTTCACTTAATGCAACTTTACCATAATCAAATTATAGACAAGTTCTGTAACTTTTAGATTAGAATACTTTTTCAAACAAAATGAAGAAATAAATGGTATCTGTACCATAAGATTTACTCCATGCAAATACAAAATGAAGACCAATAAGCTTTAGGGTGTGTGTATGTATGTATGTGTGTGTGTATGTGTTGTTGTTGTTAATTGCGAAGTCGTGTCCGACCCATCGCGACCCCATGGACAACGTTCCTCCAGGTCTTCCTGTCTTCTGTGTATGTGTATATGTATGTATATGCATAATTTTAATTCATTAATTTAAGAAAGATGAAGAAGCAAAGAAAAGCAGAGAAAGTATCTTTTCCAAAACTTCATAAGCACATAAACAGTTCCTTTTCCAAGTAAAGAACAGGTAATCCTTGCTTAGTGATTGCCTGGGCAGCATTTTCTATGATGATGAAAAAGTAACTTTGCAACCAAAGTCCTAATTTATGACCTTTTTTCAATCTCTTTCTGTCACATGTCCACCATTAAAGTCAATTAATGCATGTTCGCTTGAATATAAGATCATAAGCAGAGTTTTTCACTTAGCAAATGCTTCACTTAACAACCCATGTTCCTGGCCCTAATTGCAGTTGCTAAACAAGGAATACCTGTATACCCATTAAAAAACTGTTCATTTGTCTAGAATTGAACAGTGACTAAATCAAATTAAATTCCATTTTCCCCTCTGGAGTAATCTTCAGTGGGAACACAACTTGAACGGGACAGGAAAAAGAAAAGTCATGTCCTGTCAAGTCATAATTAAAACCAATTTCTACTTGGAGAATACAAATCAAATATGGCTGTTACTATGACTTGCTATACATACACTTTTACGTTTTTCTGTAAGACAATATTTGCTTATAATAAATATTTATTTAATACTGTTCATTCAGAGCAGTGGTTCTCAACCTGTGGGTCGGGACCCCATTTGGGTCGAACGACCATTTCACGGGGTCGCCAAACAACACAGTCCGCCATTTTTTCCCCCTTTTCCTTAGCTGTGCTACTCTCTTTTATTCTATTGGCTTTTGAAAGCCAATAGAATAGACTCTCTTGAACAGAGTCTAATTCTATTGGTTTTCAAAAGCCAATAGGAATTGTCCAGGCTGTCTCTGCCCTGCTGAGCCCGCCAAAAGTCCCATTCTGCAAACGGTGCTGCACCAGTTGAGTAGTCCTCGTCTTACGACAGGTTGAGTAGTCTAGACTTACGACCGGTTGGGAGGTCGCGGCATTAAAAAGGTTGAGAACCACTGATTCAGAGTGTAGAATGATACAACTTCTACTCAAGAAATTATGTTTCTAAATCAGACAGATAAGGCCAAAGAACTGGGGAATTACATATAAATCAGTATATCTAAAAACATTGTTTTCCCAACTCTGTGAAATCCAATCGATTGAGTATGTGTATAACACTTTTTCAATTACTTTCTGTCCCTATTATGGCAACTAATATAATCTATCTATATTACTATCCTTATTTTACTATGATCTCTTTTGCTTCATATTCATATTTTTAAAACGAAGCCCACAGCATGTTTTTGACAGTTTTCAATTTCTCAGGAACTCTGAAGAAAATGTAACACACATATTGCTTTTTTTTCCTGATAAAACAGCATATTTTTAGCTTGTGGTTGTTCGATCTTCTAAAACAAACCCATTCTTTGTTTGCTGTCCACATATTTTAAAAAATTCACTTACATTTAAATTTCTTTTCCCCACATTAGGTATACTTACAGGGAGGTTTAGCTTGACAGCATCCACAGGATGCTGGAAAGGCCATGAAAACTGATGTTTCCATAGTGTCTTGAGCACCACTTTGAGTAGGTACTGTAGTTGGTTGGTCATGCGCTTGGGTTTACTAGGATTTGAGGTCTCAGGTGGAGATGGATTAATGGCTCCAGCATTGCCCTGTTGGGGTTGGGTCTGTGCCTGTGTTGTAGACATTTGTGTAGCTTCTAGTCCATCCCCCATTACTGGCAAATTTCTCAGTCTTGTCCCAGGGCCACTCTCTGCAGACATGCTATCGATCCCATTGCATTCTGTACCAGTCACTCTGCAAAGCAAATTAATTGATTAATTAATACATTTTAAAACAATGAACAATATAAAAAGCACACAAAATAAACAATGATAGCAGAGAAAACAAGCGTAGATAGGAATAAAGAAAATGTGGCTTCTATAACCCCTTTGCCAAAGGCCTGGGAAAAAATGGGAAAACTGATGTGTGGTTGACAGTTGTCAGAAACACTGGCTCTAATAATAATAATAATAGGGACTATTTTGGGGTTAATAATAATAGTAATAGTAAAGTTGGAAGGGACCTTGGAGGTCCCCCTGCTCAGGCAGGAAACCCTACACCATTTCGGACAAATGGCTGTCCAGTCTCTTCTTAAAAACTTCCAGTGTTGGAGCATTCACCGCTTCTGGAGGCAGGTTGTTCCACTGATTAATTGTTCTCACTGTCAGGAAGTTTCTCCTTAGTTCTAGGTTGCTTCTCTCCTTGATTAGTTTCCACCCGTTGCTTCTTTTCCTGCCTTCAGGTGCTTTGGAAAATAGCTTAATTCCCTCTTCTTTATGGCAGCCCCTGAGATATTGGAATACTGCTATCATGTCCCCCCTTGTCCTTCTCTTCGTTAAACTAGACATACCCAATTCTAGCAACCGTTCCTTATATGTTTTAGCCTCCAGTCCCCCAATCATCTTTGTTGCTCTTCTCTGTACTCTTTCTAGAGTCTCAACATCTTTTTTACATCGTGGTGACCAAAACTGGATGCAGTATTCCAAGTGTGGCCTTACCAAGGCATTGAAGAGTGATATTAATACTTCACGTGATCTTGATTCTATCTCTATGTTAATGCAGCCTAGCACTGTGTTGGCCTTTTTGGCAGCTGCAGCACACTGCTGGCTCATATTTAAGTGATTGTCTACTAGGACTCCGAGGTCCCTCTCACAGTTACTATTGAGCATGGTGCCACCTATGCTGTACTTGTGCATTTGGTTTTTCTTGCCTAAATGTAGAGTCTTGCTTTTTTCACCATTGAATTTCATTTTGTTAGTTAGTGCCCAGTGTTCAAGTCTGTCCAGATCCTTCTGTATCTTAAGCCTGTCTTCTGGAGTGTTGGCTAATACTAAGCAATAATGTGGCTGAGTGCAATTTTGAACCAAGGTCAGTCAATAAGGAAGTTAAGTCAGTCAATAAGGATGTTAAGTATACCTATCACTTAGAACACGGCTTTTCAACCGGTGGTAGGCGTACCACCAATGGTACACGAGCACCTGGCCGGTGGTACACGGACGGGTTGAAAAAAAATGTAAAAAAAAATTGTAAAAGTGGATGAGGTGAAGTGGCAGCAGCGCTGCACAGGCTTGTGGCAAAGTCAGCTGGAACTGCACATTGCCTGGGTCCTACTGAGAGCCCAGGATCGAATCTGCCTGGCTGCATTCTTTGTGGCAGAAAGGGCTTTGATCCCGCTTCCCCTTCGCTCCCGCCGAGTCCGTGAATGCCAGATTCAAGAGGACGGAGGCTCACATGTCTGCACCCCAAAATTCCCAGCCAGCCTGATGGCCTTTCGAACCACTCTGGGGTTAGATCTGGCATTCACGGACCTGGCTGGAGCGATGGGGAAGTGGGATCAAAGCCCTTCTTTCGACCGCAAAGAATGCAGCCAGGCAGATTCGCCTGCGGGTTGTGCCGGCTCTTCCTCGGGGCAGGCTGCAGCAATGAATGAGCCGCTTCCCCGCTCGCTGCTTTTCTCCAGCTGCGGCCGCGCGCAACGCACTAGAGGGATCTGGCAGCCGGGGCTCTTTCCCCGTCCCCATGCGCTCCTCTGCTGCCTGTGATCTCCTCCCCCTGCGGAAGAACAGTGGCTGTGCTGGTCTTCTGGCTGCACCAAGCGCGACCACCGCTCCTTTTCAGAGAAGCAGCCAAGGAGAAGCAGCCATCAAGAACCGCAGCAGCCACCGCAACAACGGTGGTGGTGGCAGCGGTGGCCAAACCCCAATTGCCTCCTCCAGGCTCTTTTATGTCCTCCCCGTTCCCATAGCGCTGGACAATGGGAGGGAGGGAAGGGATAAAGAGAGAAAGGAAAGGAAGGGAGGGACAATGGAAGGGAGGGAGGGAAGGAGGAAGGGACAAAGAGCGAGGGAAGAAAGGAAGGAAAGAACAATGGGAGGGAGAGAGGGAGGAAAGGAAGGTGCCCATGCCTGTCCCACCTCCTCCACCAGAGACTCACAGATCCCCCCCATCCTCGCCCGCACCCCCCACAGGCACCCTGCAACCTGAGTGATGAGCTGGCCATGCCCCCCTGGCCATTGACTTCACTTGTCAAAAAGTTGCAAAAGGTGATAACATGACCCTGGGACACTGTGACCGTCATAAATATGAATCAGTTGCCAAGCATCCGAATGTAAATCACATGACCCTGAGAATGCTGCAACAGTCATTAAGTGTGATAAATGCCGTTGTAACTTCGAACAGTCATTAAGCGAATTGTTGTAAGTCGAAGACTACCTGTACTTTATCATTTTTTCCCCTTTTTTTGAGTCATCAAGTTTTTGACACCTTGCTGGGCGACTGAAGGTACTCAGATATTGCCTTATCCTAAAAGTGGTACAATGGGTGAAAAGTTTGAAAAGCCCTGCTGTAATTCTTTTTATCAGGGTGGAGTCGGGGTGACTGAAAGGAGCTGAGCATTTATTGGCCGGATGACCTTCTTGACACCCAGGTAGAGTTTGTAGCCATTGTTTATTCTTTGTACCCTGATAGAAAAATATCCGTCTGTTGCCTAGGATTGAACTCTTAGCCTTCTGAGTGTGAGATAAGCATCTTCAACTCTAGGCCACCACACCATTCATCCTAAATTCCACATATATCTAAACCAATGGTTCTCAACCTGTGGGTCGGGACCCCATTTGGGGTCGAACGACCATTTCACGGGGGTCACCAAACAACGCAGTCCGCCATTTTTTTTCTCTTTTCCTTAGCTGTGCTACTCCCTCTCTTCAATAGAGTCTAATTCTATTGGCTTTCAAAAGCCAATAGGAATTGTCCAGGCTGTCTCTGCCCTGCTGAGCCCGCCAAAAGTCCCATTCTGCAAACGGTGCTGCACCAGCCGAGTAGTCCTTGACTTACGACCGGTTGAGTAGTCCTCGACTTACGACCGGTTGGGGGGGGGTCGCAGCATTAAAAAGGTTGAGAACCACTGATCTAACGGCATTTTTAGAAAACAAAAACTATAGTGATCTGCAGTCCAGTACTCTGAAAATGTATGCAACGTCATGCTAGAAATTATCCAAGTAGGCATAGGAGATTGATGTGTAGCAAGCTCAGGTTACTCCTGATCAAGAGTGTTTGGTCATGTTTCCCAAGACACGGCAGCCATTATAAGAATATCCATAATATGTCTTTGCATTAATGCTTTACATCCAGTCAGTGCTAATATTTTTTTTTTAAAAATGATGATTTGGTTAAGTATGTTTTCCTTTCCATGCTCATTCTCCTGCTCTTTTCTTCTTTACTATCAGTATCTTGATTTTAAACATGTGGGCAGAGACTAGGACCCTTTTTAACTGAACACAGAGGTTAAAATGTAATTTAAAAAAGACGGGACTTTATTGACAATTAAAATATAAATAGACAAATATTTATTTGTATGTGTGTGTTTGTGTGTGAAGGATCAAAAGTGATTTGTAGCTGAATAGCTGTCAGTACATATTTTACTCTATGCTTTTATAAAGCATTTTGTTGAGGGGCATATTGTTTATTTTGAGCAATTTAAAGAATAAAGTGATGTCATTTCAGTTGGTATGAGGATTTAATATTGTTTCATTTGCTATTTGGGTGGGTTGTTGTTTGTTGAAACATACTTCACTTCCTTATATGTTGTTTCCTTTTGAATGTTTCCTGTAAGCTTCCCAAACCTGGGTTAATTATCCAAACTCCGCATAAAATAGTTCTTTCAATAATTACACACAAATCCATTATCCAATCATATTTAAATTGAATTAATGTGTTTTACATATATTGAGTAAAAAGGAGTTTCTAATAATCAGTTCTGGATAACTAGGAAAAAGTTTGGGAAGCACTCACCTATTGCTTTGTAATTTTATGCTAAAATAAAAAATGAAATTCTGCACTGGAATATTTACTACATACACCACCACCACAGAAATCTTCACAACAACTTTGTAATGTAAAAGTCAATAAATATTATCATCTTCATGTTGTGGGTTAGTGTGTTGTAGAAAAAGACTCTCAAATATCAAATATATTTCGGTGTTTGCATTAAAATCAAAGATTCACCGAGAATGCCATTACTTGGTGCTAAAACAGAAAATTTCATTGTAATTTCAAGACCATGATCCTTCATGATCCATGAACAGGGAGATTGTTGGAAGAGGTTGTTATAAATAGCCAGCTAAAAGAACAAATAGCCTGCTGAAGTCAGCTGGCTACCGGCCATTGCATTGCAGATAAAACAAAACCAAGAAGCCTGGCTTTGTCCAGTTCTTCACCTTTTTCAAACTTAAGTTTATACTGGGTTATGTTCACTTAGTTACGCATATTTTTTCTAATATGCTTACTCTGTTTTACTTTTTCTTGCATAAACATTTCTGCAAGCAATATTTCACAACATTGATGTTCCCAAGTAGGGAAATGCAACACCTGCAAGAAAACAACCAAGCTCGGAGAGCACCACGGACCCCACAGTTGAACTCTTGAGCTACAAATATTTTGTCCTATTGGTACAAATTGAATTGCATCAAGGATACCAAAAGAATTTGCTTACTGTCTGGCCATACCCTTATTATCTTTGAGAAATCCTGGAGAACATGTAAGGCAAATCCTCAATATAGGGCCTGATTCCCCTCCCCCCCACGCTACAAACCAATCAGTATGTTAAAACAGAAAATTCTAAACAAAAGTCATAAAGCTTTGACTTTGACATCTTGCAAATAATGTTAAGATAACCAGAAGTCAGCACTGATTTGTCAAGGAAAAGTCTTATCACTTTATAGATTGTACAAAGAAAATGCTGCAGACAAAAGGTATCT